GGAAAGACTTACAAGGGGTATTAGTTTCGTGGACTTGTAGACAAGCTAAAAACTCATTTAGACTGCTTGTTTTTCCAGTTCTATAAATATTTTTTTCTTGTGTGATATAAAATTCTCTGTTCTAAAAGAATATAAACTTCTGGTTTGCCAGAATTGAAACAAGCAAATTTAAGCTGGAATTGGTTGGATCTGTGAGTTAGGCTACTCTTTATCTAATAAAGTGTCGGGTTTGTGTGTATTGTCACAGGAGATAAATGCAGGCAAAAGTAAGTGGGTTTTCTAAGACTTTTTCCATTTTAGATAGGTAGAGGAGGACAAGCCTTTTTATGGGCAGTTTTCATGTTTCACTATGTAAAGTTAGGAAGATAATTAACTTATTTCAAATTTAGGTTCTATTTAACGGGGTTTTGGACTTAATTTTTAGTTTCCTTTCCAGAAGTGATTTTTATTAACATACAACTGGATTTATCAGTAAAAAGCCAGAGGCAAATAGATTTTATGAATGAGGCCAAAATGAATTCACCAAGCCGGGAAATATTGGGTGACTTATTTAGTATAATTTAGGTAGGGTGGGACTTGTTCATGACTTTTAGTCCTTGTTTTAAAATTTGTAATAAGTGATCTCAGCACATATGAGGGATTACATCAGCGATATAGACAGTAGTCCAGGCTGCCACTCCAGGTACTCCAGAATGTCCAGATTTCACTTCCGTAAGCTAAAGAAGAGCGGAATCATTTATGTTCATACTTTGTTACTGTGATTTAAATTAGTGTCTTTTCCTTCCAAAGCAGCAGTATCTTGGAGAAGTAAACAATCCAATTATAAATAATGTGTAGTTAAAGTAAACATTCAGGTTTCCCTCTAAATGAAAAGTTGGCAGAACAATCCTCTTCATTGCTTTAAAATGTTTTCTAGTGCTTAAAATATAATTTACAAACTATTAAAAATGGGAACAAGGTGTACCAATACGGTTCATGATTGATAGGAAAATGAAAGGAATTTAATTAAGTAGATCAGACTTGTTCTATGATACCAAACAGTTAATATTCTTTTTTTATTAGAAAAAAATTCTCACAGAGAAAAAAAGGCCTGATAGTAGCTAAATTGTGACAGTATAAAACTAGCTATATGAACAGAAATTGGGAATATAATTTCAAGTACAGAGTAAGTAAATGTAAGCAGATTGTATGATGTAATTCACATTAGTTCTGCTTTGTATTTGTGTCTGGCAGCCTTTCTTAAAACAAGGAATAGTTTTCATAAAGAAATCTATGGAGAATGAATGCACACCATGTCAGCTAGCGGGTTTGGGTGCGGATGAAGCTTTTACCCTATGATATTTATTAAACAATATTTACCAAGTATTTGGTTTTTGATGTGCTCTGTGTTCATTGCTGGCTTAGGGGGAGTCCTTACCCGCAAGGTATTTGTACTGTAGAGGACCCTTAACTAACTAGGCCTTTACGTTTGATTGACTTATATACTGTGTTAGTTAGTGCTGGCTCACAAGTATGGAATATGTTCACTTGTTTTTATTCTGGCCTTTCAATGAAACGGAATGTACTTTGAAGCTTATTGACAAAGTCATCTTAAGCTACTAAGTCTACCTTTTTTTTTTTTTTTTTTTTTTGTCGGTGGTTCGCGGGCCTCTCTCCGCTGCAGCCTGTCCCGTTGCGGGGCACAGGCTCCGGAAGCGCAGGCCTAGCGGCCATGGCTCACGGGCCCAGCCGCTCCGCGGCACGTGGGATCCTCCCGGACCGGGGGCACGAACCCGCGTCCCCCGCATCGGCAGGCGGACGTTCAACCACTGCATCACCAGGGAAGCCCCTAAGTTTACATTTTTTTAAAAAGAAGTATTTTGTTTAATAGTATGAATCATGCTTTTCCCTCACAGGCTGTTCAGGTGCTTTTGTCCCTTACAACATCTGATCCATGAGATGACTAATGAAAGCAAATTTCAACATTCAGGGGTTACTGTAGAATGGCTCACCCATTTAGCTTACTTATTTTAGACTGTAGTGGTCATGTCAGAGATAAGAGTGCCAGGTAGGCTGTAGATTGCAGGTACATTACTGGTGGCAACCCTCCATCGCATACGTCACTGATGCTCATTGTATTTTGTATGTTGGTAAGCATACCGGGTGAGGACGAGAATCTGTGGTTGCTATAAAAATGTAAAACTTTCATCAATGCAGATAAAAGATGGTACTTTTATTTTACATAGTTTTTGTGTATGTTCCTTAATGCTGTTTTGAGGTGAAGGTATTATAGCAAGTTTAAAAATGTTATGGAAATATCCTAGAAAACTGATCTTTAATCTTTAAATGTGTTTTCTAGAAGAATTTAATGTTGAGTAAAGAAAAAAAATTTATTAATCCATATTCATTTTATGATTTTAGCGATGGTAGGATGGGAAGAGCAAAACAATCTAGATAACATGTATTCATTCAGAATTTCATTATACTGACAAATCAAAGAGCAAGGTATTTTGAGATTTATAATTCCATAGTAATGGAGATGCTCCTGGGAGGACTTGACCTGGTGAGATGGTTACACAATTCCTATGTTCCCTTTTGTTTAGTTGGTGATTCCATTAACCACCCAAGATGACTTGGACAAAGCTGTGGAACTGCTGGATCGTAGTATTCATATGAAGAGCCTCAAAATATTACTTGTAATAAATGGAAGTACACAGGTATGAATTGGGATTTTTTTTTTTTCAGTGAGGATTATAGGATTTATGCTTGTAAAAGTCAATATATGAAACATAGTTACCTAGAATGCCTGGGTTATATTTGGTAGGGGAAAGGATTCTGATTAAAGCCCTAAAGGGGAAGAATAGCATGACTCTTCTTTTTTTTCTTCGTAGGCTACTAATTTAGAGCCATTGCCATCACTAGAAGATTTGGATAACACAGTATTTGGAGCAGAGAGGAAAAAAAGACTTTCTATAGTAGGTAAGAAAGCTAGCATTGAAATCATGAAATGGACTTCTTGGTTTCATCTCCATCCTTTAAGGTAGGGCAACACCTAAACATAATCCTGATAAATAGCAGCCTATCTCTGTACTCTTTGTAATTTAGTTCAGTTAACTATGTTCTGGTATCTGTTGTCCCTTGAAAAGTTAATGTCAAGTATTACACGATTAGCAGTCTCCAGTTTAAATATTTCCTTTCTTAAGATACCCAGGGTATTTTGATGTTTAACAAGTTAAAAGGAAACCTCAAGAGCGTTTTAATTGTACAAATAAGCTGAAGGGAAAAAAATTAAAAGAAGCAATTCTAACATATTAAAATTAATGGATGGACTAAGTTCATAAACCTTTCTCTAAGTTTTAGTTATTGCCAAGAATGCTACCAAAATAAAGATTGCTAAGAATTTCCAGATTATGTTTTATAATTACTTTATTAGTCATTAAAAATACACTTATATTTACGTTTATGGTAAAAAGAAAAATGGATCCTGTGTGCTGTTTTTTTTTTTTTAAGGAGGCCTATTAGAGAGGCATAGGCTGGGCAGAGGTGCTCTGAACTCCCCAGTTCTGTGCATCTTCTTCAATTTGTATAAAACATTGATAATCTACATTTTTATATGATAAACACATTTCATTGCTCAAAAATGGGTATTAAAGATAGCATGAAAACATATGTGAGGGATGGATTTAAAGGGGGAAGTAGGAGACATAAAACAGATGAATAGGGAGGAAGCAGGAAGGGAATCTAAGACTGGTGATAGAAGAGGATTGTTAGTAATGAAAGAAAAGATTAAATTAGCATGTGAACCAACCAAAAAATCTGTTATTCATCTTCTGTTTTGGTACCCAAAAGCTTTTTTATGACTACTTCCTTCTAAGTGTCTGTCTTTTGTCTTACTTTGGGTTTCAGAAGTGTTGGAAGTATGAGCAGCAGAGATAATATACAAGTAAAATAAAAATTGCTTGTCTTCATTTGGATGTATTTTGATATAATTTAAATTTTTGATGAAAGAACATTAGGGGTACCTGAATTCAAATTCCAGCTCTATAATTAACCTGAGACCAATAACGTTGTCCTCATCTGTAAATCATGGGATTGTTGTAGCAGTCAATTGAGAGAACACTTTTTTTTCTTTTTAATAAATTTATTTATTTATTTATTTTTGGCTGCATTGGGTCTTCATTGCTGCTCATGGGCTTTCTCTAGTTGCGGTGAGCGGGGGCTACTCTTCCTTGTGGTGCCTGGGCTTCTCATCGTGGTGGCTTCTCTTGTTGCAGAGCATGGGCTCTAGGTGCACGGGCTTCAGTAGTTGTGGCGCAAGGGCTCAGTAGTTGTGGCGCATGGGCTCTAGAGCACAGGCCCAGTAGTTGTGGTGCATGGGCTTAGTTGCTCCGTGGCATGTGAGATCTTCCCAGACCCAGGCTCGAACCTGTGTCCCCTGCATTGGCAAGCGGATTCTTAACCACTGCACCACCAGGGAAGTCCCTGAGAGAACACTTTTAAACTACATTTTGCTTTTCAAACTAGAAAGCATGACTATTATTAATTATACATTTCTTTATCCTTTTTCTTATCATTATAGTACCTATCTTTTTTTTTTTTTTTTTTTTTTTCCTTGCGTTTTGCGGGCCTCTCACTGTTGTGGCCTCTCCCATTTGCGGAGCACAGGCTCCAGACGCGCAAGCTCAGTGGCCATGGCTCACGGGCCCAGCCGCTCCGCGGCATGTGGGATCTTCCCGGAATGGGGCACGAACCCATGTCCCCTGCATCTGCAGGCAGACTCCCAACCACTGCGCCACCAGGGAAGCCAAAGGCAAAAGCCTTGTTTGCTTTAAATCTGACCAGAACTCAAATGCTCACATGATTTCATCATATTGTTTTTATAGTTTAATTTCAAAAAATGAGGAAAGCTGAGAAAACTATGTTAATAAACATAGCATAATTAGATGAACTGTATTAGATTCTCTAATTTTCTAAACTATGAATAAATTTAAATTCCAGGAATATGGCTTGCCACCAAAAGCCTAATTTTAAGTACCCAAGAATAAAGTCCAGGATTCCAAATTGGAAACATTCTAATGTTGACTAAATGACTAAGAAGTAACCGAACTTTAGGTTTCTAAAGATTAAAGAGCAGCAATGGAAAGAACATCATGTAGACAGATGTGCACAGCATATGTTCATTATGAATAATTTTGCCATCACAACACCCTTGCAAAGGAGAGATTTAGTCCCATGTTTACAGATGAGGAAACAAGTTCATGGCGATTGGATAACTTTCCCAAAGACGCAGAGCTGGTAAATAACTGGAACTGAGATTTAAATTGAGGTTAGACTGTAAAGCCCATATTCTTTCCACTACATCATGATGCCTTCCATAAATTACATTAAAGGGTAACATATACCAGGGTACAAGTGACCTGAAGCAGTGGCATTTATCTAAAAATCTTTATTATCAATACAGTACTCATAATGCAGTTGTCAGCAGTCAGAAGAACATACCACCTAATAAATGTAAGTGAATATTACAACAAGGTTAATAATTACAGTAGGTGGGAGTTTAGAAAGGAATAAAAACATTTGAAGTTTTACAGACATGAGTGCTCTGATAAGCTTTAATAAAAACTAGATTTCAGTTGCTAAAAGCATTCGTATTATAGTCCAGAAATTTTGAGTGTATATTTAATTAAAACAAGAATTGGTTCCCTGCTGGAATTTATAAAATCATATAATTTTTCTCCTTTGAGGTCCCACTAGTAGAGATAGAAGCTCCCCACCCCCTGGATACATTCCAGATGAATTACACCAGGTTGCCCGGAATGGGTCATTTACCAGTATCAACAGTGAAGGAGAGTTCATTCCAGAGAGCATGGACCAAGTAAGCAAAATTTGGATGTGCTTTTTAATTTCATTTAAAGGGATGTTGTCAGGGAATAGTGTTGTTTGGCAGGTATATCGAGGAGGGGGTATTTGTTTAACCTCTTCTCCAATCCCATATCTTCCTTTATAAGCGAACAAAATAGTAGAAATGTAGGAAAAACCCCACTAATTTACATGTGTCTGTGTGCATTCATGTATAAAGAAAGGTGGAATAAGGCTGATTTTCTTATGTTGCTCATCCATAAGTGAGTGAATGCATTTGTTTATAATCCTGGGATTAACATTTGGATTTTTTTAAATTAACATTTGAAAGACACAGTAAAACTATAAATATTTAACTTTGTGAAGCTGAGGTTTGTCTACTTTCTAAAACATTTAAAAATGTTTTTTAAAGTTTTGTGGTATTGAAGTATTTTCATGGATTTGCTGTTGTTTTCTTAACATTAAATTGGCTGCTTATATTATTACAGGAGTTTACATTTTCTAATAATGTAGCAGTCATGGTGTCATTTGTTTCAATTTGGGTGGTGCCTTTGTTCAGTTTTCAGTAAACAAAATTATGTGAAGTGTTTTAGCTTTTAATTATTTAGATAATAATCCAGAGAGAAAGAAATAGAAAATTCCTATTTTTCTGTTAGGAAATTTTGAAGTTGTAGCCTACCTACAAGGGCAACTACTTTTAAAACATTTAAAAATGAATAACTCTGGGGATGACTGCTGTTGGATATGGATTTTCTTTTTTGGGTACTGAAAGTGTTCTGAGATTATGGTGAGGGTTATACATTCTCAGTATTAACCACTGAACTGTACTGTATTCTTTAAATGGGTGAATTTTATGATACATGAATTATATCTCAATAAAGCTGTTTTTAAAAAACAGTAACTTCTGGTTATATCATGCAGACTCAAGGTGGACCCATTTATTTTTCTAGATGCTGGACCCATTATCTTTAAGCAGCCCTGAAAATTCTGGCTCAGGAAGTTGTCCATCACTTGATAGCCCTCTGGATGGGTAATGTTGATTGTAGTTTTTGTTTTTTAATATATGTGGGTAAATATGCATATATATAACATGTCGAAGTATCAACTCTTCTGTGTTACATTCAGAGGAATGTAGTTGATACTCATCTATACTTATGGAAAATTGATTTTTTCAGTTTGGACAAATTTCTTAACTTCGTGGGCTCAGTATCTTTTTTAGTTAAAATGATATCTGATTATAATATTCTGAGTTTCTTGCTAAATTGTGTTTGAAACTAAAGGCAAACTTAGAATTTATGTACGTTTACTTTTAAACCTGTGTTGGTGAAACTGCTGTCAAATTTTTCATAATAGGTTTTGTTTTGGAGATTCTTGAGTTGTTGCACCTGTTCAGGATTACGTTCATTCTGGTACCAAATTATAAATAACATATATTCTTGGTAATTATGTCCCAGTATTTTGGTCAATTAAAGTTTAAGTACTTTCGTGAGACAGCTGTTCAGGAATATAAGCTGGGGCAAGTTGCATCTGTGAATTTTTGGTTACAAGTGCTCCCTCTCTCTTGGTCTCAGTCGGACAGTGTTCACCTGTAGCATGCAAAGTCAATATCTTTATTAAGATCATGACCTATTTAATCTCTGGAATTGCTCTATGAAAGAAAATTTGGAAAATATAACTAATATTGTACGGAACTTTACGTTTAATTTTTTGTTACCCATATACATGAAACCTTTGTGCCCATGTCTATCTTAAGATAGATATTTAAAACATTTAAGAAATTCAGGGAAATTGTGTTGTGAAAGCTATATATTGAGTACTTAATATTTGAAAGACAGTGTCCTGCGGTAGATAAGTATAAAATTGATGAGTTAGACATTATTATCTCCTTGTTATAAATGCAGAAATAGTCTCAGAAAGGTGATTTGCCAAGGTTGCAATAGCTAGTTGAAGTGGCAGAGCTAGGATTGAAACACAGGTGTTTCCATGCATCTGTAATTCCAAAATATATCATTCTTACCACTGTACTCTTTTTTTTTTTTTGCGGTACGCGGGCCTCTCCCTGTTGTGGCCTCTCCCATTGCGGAGCACAGGCTCCGGACGCACAGGCTCAGAGGCCATGGCCCACGGGCCATGGCCCACGGGCCCAGCCGCTCCGCGGCATGTGGGATCTTCCCAGACCAGGGCACGAACCCATGTCCCCTGCATCGGCAGGCGGACTCTCAACCACTGCGCCACCAGGGAAGCCCCTTACCACTGTACTCTGTGGGTTAATTTTAAAAGCCAGGCTTTTTGCGGTGCATGTACCAAATAAATGCTTGAAAAGAAGTTCCCCCTTTCTCAGTTAATGTTTCAGAGAGAGCATATATATGTGTATATATATGTATGTGTGTGTGTATATATGTATGTATATATAAAATATATGTTGTTTTATATATGTATGTATGTATATATAAACATACATACAGAGAGATATTGGTATTGCATAAACATTTTTTTTAATGTCTTAAATATTTTGTCTTAAAATAACAAGACTTTTTCTACTTTTAGAGAGAGCTATCCAAAATCACGAATGCCTAGGGCCCAGAGCTACCCAGATAATCATCAGGAATTTTCAGGTTAGACTGTTCACATTCTAAACGTTTAAATGTTATGTCATTGAATAATCTTTTGGCTGGGAGGGCGAGGGAACTTTTTAAAAAAATCAAAAATGAGTAAATGTATTTTTCATCATTGGAAATGTTTGATTTTTGTATAACTTGTATACAACTTTCTTGTGTGTCTTAATAGACTATGATAACCCTATATTTGAGAAATTTGGAAAAGGAGGAACATATCCAAGAAGGTATCATGTTTCATATCATCATCAAGACTATAATGATGGTAAGTTTATTAGATTAAAGAACAGTTTGTTAAAAATCTCAGAAACAATAAAAATAAATTTGTTCCTATATCACTTAGTTTTCTGCTTAAAACTTTTTTTAAAGATACTGGATCATAATTAAAACTACAATAACAGCTTTATGCCAACTTACCTCATAATACTTATCTTTCCCTTAGAAAAAAGAAAGGAGTAGTTAAAAATGGTATTAATTAGAAAATTATTCCTTGATGTTGAAATGCATACTTGCATTGTCCTTTTAAGGAAAAAAAATTGCTGCCTATAAACTTGGCAATTTTTATTTTGTATTTTAAATCATTATTGGAAATAAGAATAAATATATTTTTTCTCCTTTTTATACAAAACTGAGGGAGTTCTATGCTTTTATGAATGTGTGTGTGTTAACGTAAGAGGTTATTTGAATTTGTATTCAGTTTCTTTTTTCCCCACTTTTCATTTCTGCTTTCACTTTTCTCTTCTTTGTATTTTTATTTTTTACTTCATGATTCAGTGTTAACAAAGATATTTCTTTGCACTCTTAAAAAATACTATTCTTTTTAAGTTTAAAACATATTATCATATAATTGCTGTTTTAGTTTCTTAGCGTAGTCAGAACAAATTTCTCTTCCTTATGTTACAAATTTTAAATACTTTTAATTATAATGTATTATTAAAAGTTGCGAGGTAATTCTGTTTTCACTTTGTAGGTCGTAAAACTTTTCCAAGAGCCAGAAGGACCCAGGGGACCAGCTTCCGGTCTCCTGTGAGTTTCAGTCCTACAGACCACTCCTTAAGCACTAGTAGTGGAAGCAGTATCTTTACCCCAGAGTATGATGAGAGTCGAATAAGAAGAAGGGGAAGTGACATAGACAATCCTACTTTGACTGTAATGGACATCAGCCCACCCAGCCGCTGTGAGTAATAGAAATTGGCATAGTGAAATGTGTAGCAGAGCCTTTGCAGAATTTTATAGTATTAAAAAAGAATAAATACCAAGCCAGTCTTCACAGTGAGACCAGAATCTCAAAAGAGGTAAAAATGGTATTTCTAAAGGTGGTTGTAATGTCAGGTATAAGCATGGTATTACTGCTATTACTTTAAATGATTCTGTCCTTTGCTTTTATTAGGAAAATTGTTACCAATTAGTCATTCATTCATTCATTCCACATATCCTTATTGAGTGCTTAGCTCTGAGATTTCAAATATGGCCTCTAAGATGTAATCTAATGGGGATAATGATGTGCATAGGAATTCACCAGTTAAGGAGGTGACATGTGCAAGAGGCCATGATATTTTCTCATAATGGGGAATAGTTCATTTTTGGCTGAAGTAGAGGGTATCTTACTTGAAACAGTGGAAGTAGAATTAGAATGGTAACTAAGGCCGGATTGTAAAGTATTTGAACTTTATCATGTAAGCAATGTATAAAAGATTCATGCTCAAAGATATTTATTGCAACAATATTTTTATATTCTGAATTCCTCTCTTTTGTGCTAGTGTTGTCATACTTTACTTTCACATCTGCGACTCTCACTACATTGATGCTATTTTTGCCGTAGACAACTATATTTTAAAGTGATTAAAAATAGGAGAAGAATGTCTTTTAAATATACCTCCAGTTTATTTCTGTAGATCTTTATGTAGATCCAAGATTCTGTCAGGTATCAAATTCCTTTTGCCCAAAGAATTGTTTTTAACCTTTTCTTGTAGTACGAGTCTACTGGTAATAAATTCTTTCAGCTTTTGTTTGTTTGAAAAACTCATATTTCTCCTTTATTTTTGAAAGATATATTTTTCTGGGTATAGAGTTCTGGGCGGTTTTTTTTTTTTTCTTTCAGCACTTTAAAGTTATTTCTCCATTGTCTTCTGGCTTGTATACTTTCTGAGGAGAAGTCTGCTGTATTTCTTATCTTTGTTCCTCTGTATATAGTGTGCTTTTTCCCCTGCTGGCTGCTTTCAAGATTTCCTCTTGTTAGAATGAGAGCGATGGTCTTTCCAGCTTTCTACATTGTAGGCAGTTGAAAAACTAATTACAGATATTACTGCAATAAAGATTAGAAGTAGTGCATCTTACATAATCAGTGGCATCTTAAATTGAGTGAAAAATGCTATTACGTTTATAATCAGGTGAAAAAAAATCTCATTGGAAAAAATTAGTCATAGGCATCTGAACCTTGTTTGGGTTTAGAATTCTTACAGTTTTCAAAGATGATGATCATTATGAGTTTGGATGAACATGATTTTCCCTTAATATCCAAGCATATTCAATTAAGGATATCAATAATGCAGTAGTCCTTAACCATTGTGTGCCATTGGGCTATTCCATTTTAAGAAAATGTTCTTTTTTAGCACCTCGTGCTCCAACCAACTGGAGATTGGGCAAACTGCTTGGCCAGGGAGCCTTTGGCAGGGTCTACCTCTGTTATGATGTTGATACAGGAAGAGAATTGGCTGTTAAGCAAGTTCAATTTGACCCAGATAGCCCTGAGACCAGCAAGGTAAGAATCACTGCATAAGCTAATTTGTCACATTATAAGAAGCATTTTTACTAAAATAAATATAACACATAATAGAATTTTTTGTTTTTCCTCAATGCAAATTATTTGCAAAAAAAATAGATAACTAGCTATGTTTGTTTACTTTGTACTATGGATTTTTCTCTTTTAGTACTCAGTTATATTCCTAATGTGATTTCGTATTGCTTTAGCATACCATCAAGGACTGTTACAAAAGTTATTATTGTTTAGAGACTTTAAAATGTTTATTCCTTGGGAAGTGAAAATTTCAGAGTGAAATCACCTTGATGGTCCATGAAGTTAGAATTTTTTTGCTTTTACTAGCAATGCTGTAAAGACTTAACAGTGAGTTCTGTCTTTCAGGAAGTAAATGCACTTGAGTGTGAAATTCAGTTGTTGAAAAACTTGCTGCATGAGCGAATTGTTCAGTATTATGGCTGTTTGAGGGATCCCCAAGAAAAAACACTTTCCATATTTATGGAATATATGCCAGGGGTAAGTTAGTACATCCTTTGAAAATAGAGATATTCTATTTAAAGTCTTAGTTGAGAATAAAGAAAAACAACAAAACTTTGATTATAAAATGTTAAGGACATTTTGGAAGAGTTTTAAATGAGAACTGGGTAATATAATTTTATTTTCTGTCTTCCTCATCTATCTTTGTATTTTTTAACTCGTTTTTTAAAAATACTAAAGTATACTAAAATAGGTTACAGACATCATAGCAGTCTATACTCAGATTTCCCTAAATGCCCTAAAAATAACCAGTAATAACTGGTTTATCCAAACCAGGACTCAGTCCAGGACCACACATTACATTTTGCTGCTATGTCTCATTCCTCTTTTAATCTAGAACAGTTGTAGGTGACAGATTCGACAAAGAGACCAAGCTATTGGTGCTTTGTGACCACCACGAGGGGTGGGATAGAGAGGGTGGGAGGAAGACGCAAGAGGGAGGAGATATGGGATATACACATAGGTATAGCTGATTCACTTTGTTATAAAGCAGAAACTAACACACCATTGTAAAGCAATTATACTCCAATAAAGACGTTAAGAAAAAAAAAAGAAAGAGACCAAACTAGTTGTTCTGTTGACAGTCTCATCTCATAGATTTCTCCCCTTGCATCCTCGTGGTGGTGTTTAGTTTGTTCGTCTATCCCTATATTTCCTGTAAACTCCAAGTTAGATCTAAAATCTAAATTATATTTAAATTCAGCATTTATTCGCATGCATGCTGTGCATCCCATTAGGAGACATACAATTTCTGGTTGTTCTACTGGTAGTGATGCTAAGATTGACTGCTTGACTAGGGTGATTGACGTCCTAATTCTTCCATTGTAAAGTTTTGTTTTTTCCTGAAGACGAGAAAGTAATCTGGGCTTACAGCAGTGGCACATAGGAATATCCAGTTCCTTTTCAACCATCCACCTAATGTTTTTAACACAGATTGATAGTCATTGCCTGAGTCAGTAATTTCATTGGGAGGTGAATAATGTGATTTGCAAAAAACTCTGTCATTCCTTCTTCATTATTTTTAGTATTTGTAGAGTACCTTCTAATACTAATGATTTTCAAGATGGTGGTATATTTACTCGCTTAAAAATACATTCATTCTCATAATAGGCAGTATATGTTAGAAAAAGGCTTGATTTATGGATCTTTAAGGAAATAGCTTATTAGAATTGTATGTAGAATGTACAGGTTGCAGTTTAATCTTATGGATCAATAAAACTGTGGATCAGTATCTCATAGTACAGTTGTCCCTCGGTATCCCCAGGGAATTGGTTCCAGGACTTCCCACGGCTGTCAAAATCCAAAAATGCTCAAGTCCTTTATATAATGGTGTAGTATTTTTTGCATATAAGCTACGCATATCCTCCCATATACTTTGTCATCTCTTAATTACTTACAATAACTAATACACTGTAAATGCTATGTAAATAGTTGCCAGTGCAGCAAATTCAAGTTTCGCTTTTTGGAACTTTGTGGAATTTTTTTTTCCAGATATTTTCAATCAGCAGTTGGTTGAATCCCCAGATGAGAGGCCTGCGAATACAGGCTGATTGTAATGGTCTTAACACATCCTTGGTCTTACAACAGCGACAGTAAAATTTACTTTGATTTTTATCTTCCTGAATAGTTGTTTATAGGGACACCACTGTTATTCATCATTGCTATTTTTTATTTTCAAAGATTATGTTGGCACTGTAAATTGTTTTTTAAAATTTAGTCTACAGCAGTAATCCAAAAGAAGGAGAAAGCTGTGAACCTTTATTTTAGTACTATCTGTGATGGAAAAAGTGGAATATCAATTCCCCCAGTGGAAGTAAATTATGATGGCATTGTCCAAGAGAGTATATATTAAAAATCAAAATTGTGAAGCCCATGAAGCAAAGTTGGAGGAAGTACTTAGAGGAAAAGAATATAAAATGCTTTTTACTATTAATGGTATTTTAAAAGTATCTGTATTTGGACAAGAACAGAAGAAGCTTAGAAAAATGAAAATGTATTATGTTGGGATTGTGATTGACTTTTCTCTTATTCAGATTCCCATTACTGTTTGTGCAACAAATATTTAAATTAAAAATAAGGAAATAACTATGAATAAATGTGAATAGAGACCCAGATTGTTGAAGATAAAATTAATTAAAATGACTCATTGGTTAGAACCAGTTTACATCGCAAATGGAGATATGGGTAATCTTTATATATTTAGCAATCTTAAGACTAAACTAGGACTATTCAGGAAGAGGCGTTAGATCATGTTTCTCATTAGGTTTTGTAAAGGCAACTGTCTTTTCAAAGTCTAGGTTATCACTCCTTGAATTTGAAAAGCATGTTACTAAATTATTGATAGTTCACTGACAATCTAAATGAATTATGTGTACGGCAAGCCCATGGCATACATGGGATGGACATAGATGTTCCTAGACTTTGCTGAATCTCCAAGTCCGTAAATGATGCTATATAATTTCTTTCATTAAATTTGGTATAATGGACCCGTTTATGCCCTAGATTCAAGCTTTGCTAAAATTGTCATTCCATTCTTCAGTTTTTCCCAACATAACATTCCATTTCTTAGTCTATCTAGAACTACTTTTACACCGGAACCATAACTTTCTTTTATTTCCAATACGTGGCCTAGCAGTTGACTTCTCTCTGTTACTCTTACACACACACACACACACACACACTGTTTTTATCTGACACAGTGCTTTCCAGCCCATTCCAGTTGTTCACACTGAAGAAGGTAATATTTTCATGTTACACAGCAGTAAACAGACTACACTGATGGAGCTGTTAGCACCATGGGCCACTGGCCCAGCTGCCTGAGGGCCCAGAGGATCTGTAAGTCTGACACTTATTTGCAGCCTACAAGTATCTGGGGGCTTATGGTTTGAAAAGCTCAGTTCTAGCTCTGTTATTTTGTGCATTACTGCAAGTAGAGACATAATAAGTTGACTGAAGAACAAGCCGCATTGAGTTATAGGTATGACTGGTTGTCTGGGTTCACTCACTGCCTAAGGCTTTCTACACGTGTTTGCAAGTTGGGGTCAGCAGAATTGCTTCTTGCTGTCCCTTCAGGGATTGCTCATGAATAGTGGAAACAGCAAGTGGCTAAACCTGTAAAATCCAAGGATCTATTTTTTTTTTTTTTTTTTTTTTTTTTCTTGCGTTATGCGGGTCTCTCACTGTTGTGGCCTCTCCCATTTGCGGAGCACAGGCTCCGGACGCGCAGGCTCAGCAGCCATGGCTCACGGGCCCAGCCGCTCCGCGGCATGTGGGATCTTCCCGAAACGGGGCACGAACCCGTGTCTCCTGCATCGGCAGGCGGACTCTCAAGCACTGCGCCACCAGGGAAGCCCAAGGATCTATTTTTATATGACAAAGTACACAGTTTACCAAAATTCAAAGAAAGACAGGAACATTTGATTATGTTATCTCTAAAAGATTTTGTCCCTCAGGAAGTATTTTATTTCCATCTTTTAAAGTTGTGATTATTTATCAAATTTGCACATTGGAATCAGCAGGGAAGCTTTTTCAAAATTCAGGTGCCTATGTCTCACCAGATTGATTCCCTATTCTCAGAGATAGCACCTCATCCTGCCTAAAACATGTAAGAAAATTAGAAATTCCTTTTTAATTTTCTCTTGTTTTGAACTAAAACAGTGAGTATATAAAAGAAAAAATTTAAAATCTCACGTGTGTTCTGATCTTCTAATCATACCCATTCTTTCTCCTGAGAAGTAAATTTGTAGGTATCAATAAAACTGTGTTTTAAAAACAGAGTAAGAACAAAATAAATAAAATTAAAGTAGGACGTATATAGAAGAGCAAGTAGGAAAATCAAAAATGTATTCAGGGCAAAAACAATGCAAGATAAAAGTACTGGAGAATTTTTAAAAATGCAGTTGCAAGGAACAGGAGATAGAACCAGCATAGTCATAGAAACAAGGGTATCAGTCAAAGAATAGTTTTAAAGGCTTCCTTCCACAATTCTAGTCAGGGAATATAGTAGAGTTTTATGTTAAATTAATGGCATATAATGTCCTTCCTGAGAATTCCTGTGCAGTCCAATTAAAGCCTCCCAGTCATGAACTAGGATTCTCCAAATTAAAATGTCTAGTTTTAAGATAAATAAGTCATGGGAATGTAATATACAGCATAAGGAATATAGTCAATAATACTGTAATAACTTTGTACAGAGATAGATCGTTACCAGACTCATCATGATGATCATTTTGTAATGCATTTAAATGTCGAATCACTGTGTTATACACCTGAAACTAACATGACATTGTATGTCAACTAAACTTCAATTAAAAATAAATAAAATAGGGCTTCCCTGGTGGTGCAGTGGTTGAGAGTCCGCCTGCCGATGCAGGGGACCCGGGTTCGTGCCCCGGTCCGGGAAGATCCCACATGCTGTGGAGCAGCTGAGCCCGTGAGCCATGGCCACTGAGCCTGGGTGTCCGGAGCCTGTGCTCCTCAAGGGGAGAGGCCACAACAGTGAGAGGCCCGCGTACCGCAAAAAAAAAAAAAAATAATAATAATAATAAAAATATATTGTAAAGCAGTTATACTCCAATAAAGATGTTAAAAATAAAATAAAGATCACTTTATTCAGTCGATAAGAATAATAAATACCCATGTACACATCTTTAAAAATAAAGATTTACTAGTAGTTTTCATTTCAAAGCATACTATAGTTTTCTTTTGTTTTCTTTTATCCTAGGGTTCAATTAAAGACCAACTAAAAGCATATGGAGCTCTTACTGAGAATGTGACTAGGAAATACACCCGTCAGATTCTGGAGGGAGTCCATTATTTGCACAGTAATATGATTGTTCATAGAGATATAAAAGGTAAGTAATGAGCTCTTTTTTAAGTACACAGTTCTTTTACCGAAACATGTGCTGTGGTTAAGAAATTCAACATTTAATACATGTACCTTTAAAATACCATGGGAAAACAGTTCCAGCTAGTTGTGTTGTTCAGGTCGCCACAAGAGGGAAGCTCCCCTGTTGGGGCTCACAGAATCAGTAAAGTTCAAATGAGCATGAAAATGAGACATGTTTTCATATATAGCGCACAGGCATTCGGACATAGCGGTTAAGAATGGGGCTCTGAATTTGACCTGATTCAGATTCAGGCTTTATCCATGACCAGATGTGTGACCTTAGATGAGACAATCTCTCTATGCCTCAGTTCCTCATTTTTAAGGAGGGTGATAATAGTGAACAGCTCACAGGATTCTTACAAGGATTAAATGAGTTAATGCATATAACATGCTTAAAACCGTTCTTGGTACCTAGAAAGCACTCAAAAGTTAGTTACGGTGATGATGTACTTTATGCTGAGATCATATTTAAAGCTGAGGGAATGGACCTCATTACCTAAGGGAGAGAATGAGAAGAGAGACCAAGACTGAGCTTTGATAAACTGCAACTCAGTTAAGCTCACTTTTTAAAACTCAAAAGCTCAACTGTTTTCATGGATCAGTTACATAAGGTACTGCATGAAGTGAGACAAAATAGTGGTGGAGGTATGTAAGTTTGAGAGTCATAAAACTCTGTACTGCAAAGCACGCTGAGAGGCTTCATTCTGTTAAAACCAGGTTGTGACCCGAATATAAAGATCACTTTATTCAATCATTTGACGAGAATAATGAACAAATACACAACACACATTTATAAATAATAAATTGAATTTTTTTTTCATTGGTCTTTCTAGGGGCTCTTATGAGCTACCAGGAATTTACTGCCTTTCTGTGGTATGTCACACCCTGAATATGGCCATATTCAGGCTAAAGAGAACATTCCTAACCAGTGTCTGGTCACAGAGTAGGATCTGCTGCACAATGCCTGAGCCAGATCACATGTAAAGAATGGACCTTACTAGTGAGTCTTAGAGGATGACAACATGGCTCATGATCTGAAAGAAATAGGAGCCTGTCGTTCACCTCAGGGGTCTACCCAGCTTAGGCAGACCTCAGCTATCAAGTTCAAAACCCTAAAGCTTAAAGAACCACATAAGGTGGTGACCATTTTGTAATGTACAGAAATATTGAATCACAATGTTGTACACCCTGCAACTAACATAGTGTTGTAGGTCAGGTATACTTCAATTAAAAAAAAAACACATAGGAAAATGATTTGATTGTGAATTATTCTATTAGGAATAATCTCTATTCAAGCCAGTTTCTCTTTACCTCTGATAATAAGATAAGGTAAAGGAACTGAGGGGAGCTACCCCCCAAGCGGATCCTCCTCTAACCTTGCCAGTAAAGTGAGGAGGTTGGAAACAAGCTGATTTAAAAACATTATAGGGGAAATATATTGATAAGAAAAATGTAAGGTATAAAATTGGATAAAGCAGTATGATCTCAAGTTTGTTCTTCTAGGTCATACTTTAATTTTACAATCTCTACATGATTAACAGTGGTTATTTCCAAGTGGCAGAATGAGTGATAGTTGTTTTCCTCCTGCATACTTTTTACTTTTTATGTAATTCCTAAATTTTTATAATGAGCAGTTTTTAAATGGCGAGGGCAAAGGAAAGCTAGTTGATTACATTTAAGTTTAGACTCATGAGTTCATAATGAAACCTAGGGTAAAAATTAATTGATCATTGTTGCTAGGGAACCAACTCATTATTTCATAATAGGGTTTCTTTATTGGACCTTTCTTTTATGAACTGTACTGAGGACTAAATAGTGGATGAAAGGAAACTTACCTTTATAAAAATATTTTGGCTAACAAATGAAGCAGG